AAGGTTTGTGTGGTTTTGCCTTGTATATTTATGTTAACAGTTTTGCAGCCAGATGTATTTTTCTGTTTGTACAAATTTGTCACCTCTTCACATTGGCAGACCTTTTAATGCTTGATTAGATTTACTGTAAGCTTTACCTTAGCTATGTGTGTATTTATTTTATGTTCTGCTATGTAACCTGAATATAAAGGTTTTAGGTTCATGTCATTGTTTGTTTATGCATTTTAAATATACTCTAATATCCATAAAATCTACTTTCAGGTAAAAATTACGAGTAAGAAATTGAGAACAAGTGAAAAAGTTGACCTACAACGCAGATTTCATCATAGTAACCATGTTGAAAAGTCTAAGATTACAGTCTTGTAAGGTTTTGCACTTGATAAATCATGTACAGAATAACAAAGTTATTCCTAGACCTGTGTCTTTTGTGCAGCATATGAACTTGTTTCGCCATTATGGCATAAGACATTCTCATGTCCCATTTGTTGAAGAAGATACCCTGAGCTTCAAAATATTGGAACATATGAGAATTAGTGATAAATATGCCACTGCCCATACTATGGAAAAAATTGAAAAAAATTCTTCAGAAAGCAGTCAGGCTATAAAACAGATGTTACTTGTCATAGCTCATAATCCTGATGTTAAAACATCAGATGTTCTTCGTCTGTTCTCATTATATGCTTCATCTGGACGGTTTTTATCCCAAGATTTGATATCAAACAAGTCATTGATGTCTGAGGCAAAACACAAGATTTTACAAAGCTTTCCTTGGATGACAGAAAATGAATTGAAGAATTTAGCCTACTTGCTAAAGGAATTAGAATTTGAGAAAAGTGGATATTTACAGTATCTTGTAAAAGGAGTTAATGAAGAATGTTTAAAAAGAGCCTTAGCAAGTGACCTTCCTGAGAGTCTCAGACTGTTTGATATCCTCTTGATTCTTCATGGTAACGCAATTTACAGGAAAAGAGAATATGACACTTTTATATCATTGTTTGAAGCTAATTTAGACACAGCTCACCCTCATCATTTAGTTCAAATTTTGCATTATATAGGTCTTGGCAAGAAAAAAAAGTTATCTAAGGAATTCATTCAGTTGATAATTGGGAAACTGGATAAACATTTGGATGATCTGACGTTCAGAGATCTTGGAATAGCAGTGGCTGGCATATTCAAATCCAATGTCAAGCTCAACAGAACATCAGCCTTTGTTTTGCAGATTGTATGAAATGTAAAATAAAAGAAATCATGTGATAGCATTATGAGAATATTGTTTTAAATGTTTTAAAATATATCTGATGCAAACCTTACAGAGTGTGGCAAAGATGATAATCATTATGCCCATAACTCATCAAAATTTTAATTCGTGTGGCAAGATTCCACGATGATGATCTTTTGTCTACTGTCAAATTGTTTGTGATGAGTTGTGATGAAAGTGTTCTGAATGCTCAGATTGTTCCACACATCTTGGCAATGTTCTCTAACTGTAATGTTTATGACCAAGAGATCTTTGATAAACTAGAAAATCAGGTTCTTAAACTCATTAGAGCTGAGTCACATGAGTTAAGGATGAGGGATCTTACAAGGGTGCTTTGGTGTTTTAGTCATGTAGGTCACAGATGTAATATACAAACATTAGAAGTGTTTGATGAAGCTTTCATGGAGTTCATTCATAAAGGAGAAGTTGCTAGATCACCATACTTTCTGTCAGATGCTCTCTTCTCAATGGCAATTCTCCGGCATTATCCAGAAGCATTGATTAAGGAGGCATTCAAGCCAGAAATTATTCAAGGACTGAAAGGTTAGAATGCATTTATGTTCACATTTATTGTTTTATTTATTTCATATCATTTGAAGTTTGATGTTAGATTTTTTATATGGTGTTATGATTATTCATTTGAAAACTAGTGTGTCTTGATTTGAGATATGGATTTATATAAGCTTTTATATCTATTTGCTAGAACTTTTGAATAATCTGATATTTTCATATCATATGTATATATCATGCACCATTTTCCTTTATTGATACAGGGCATCAGAGGAGTAAGCAATTATCCAGATTGCTTATATTACATGAATGTCTGAAGACAGAAGTCCCTCAACTCAAAATGGAAGCACCTGTAGTGGGGAAGTTTGAAATACCAAGTAGAACTCTTGCAGATGAAATCCAGCACCGCCCTCATATTAGGGAGTTAAGTGAAGGGGCTAAGTGGATTAATTCAGTTGTTGGAGGAACAGTGTTGAAACTCCAGTTCCCCATACCATATATAAATTATGCTAGTCTAATTACAGATTTCAACCAACTCAAGGATGAAGATTCTCTGTAGAGTCGGGGGTCTTTAACATATAAAAATACTCAGCAAATACACATTTTCAACCTACCAGCCTGTCTTACTAAAATACGTGATTTGTTTATGTCAGCTTCTCTTGATATTACCTTATAAAACCCTATTGCCTGTGACATTTCGTTATTGATCTTCGGTTTCTTTAGATTAATTTACTCATCAATTTAGTTCGAATGGAACCCTCAGAAACCAGTTGGCGCCTTCCTCCTCTTTTAGCACTTCCTTCTCTGGTCTTCTTTTTTTTTAAACAAATACGGTTCTCCCCTCGTCCTGTGCTTAACAGTACCTCCTCTCTTCCTCCTCCTACGGTTGGATGATTTCAGGCCCTCCTTTCTCTTCCTCGGCTTTATTCCGGGTGTCTATCCCACCCTCTTATTAGTCTTTGGAAGTGAGAAACTTTCTGCCTTTTACTGCTATTTTCTTCTCTCAGTCGGTGATGAGTTCGGTTGGCTTAATAGCGAGCTCTTCTGTTGTTTTTTTATCTACCTTTTCTATAAGTACCTTATAATATTCTTTTTGCATCACAATACTTCAATTTTTCATAGCAGTATCCTCATCCTTTTTAGGAATTCTTTGTCTTTTAACTCTTCATACTTCTTCTTTCTTATTTTTAATTGCATTGTTTAGTATTCATGATGGTCTCCTCCTCTCTCTGATCCTTAATCTGGGAATTTATCATTTTCCTCCGTTTCTTTCCTCTCCTCCTTCCATACCTTACTCTTTTGTAAACTAGCTTCTTCCTCTTCCTTCCTGATTTATAGACTTAGCCTTGCCCTATAACTCTTTTCCTCCATGTAAGATCTTCCTGCCTACGTTTTTGCCTGCTCTTACTTATTAACTTTTTCACTTTTTCTAGACGCTAATCTTCCTCCACAGTGCGTTGATTTTAATCTTCCTCGTAAATTAAACTATAATAGAAAACAAAACCGTCTTCCCATCTCTCTCTGTCTTTAACCTCGTTTGCTTTCTTTTTAACTTTTATCTTTAATGAAACATGCCTATCTAAAGCTTAACCTCCAGATTCCTCTTTCTTCCTTTCCCTCGATGTCTTCATTATACCTTTAATCGACCATTCGCGTGGTCCACTGACAACCCGAGCCCTGCAACTGTTTCCCAACAAAAGGCCTTCCTTCGGACCCCTCAACCAATGCAGGCGAAGCGGATCCCAGAAGGTTATGACAACTTGGGGAAAATAAGTTAGAAGGGGATGGAGGAGAAGGGGTCATGAATGTATAGGGATAGAGGAATTTGAATAGTACAAACCTAGAGGGAATGGTTAGGAAATTCATTTCTGCACCGATATTGTTTTTTCGATTAGAGGACTTGAAGGGAGATGCTTAGATGTGTTGCCCGAGTTAAACATGCACAAAATGATTGCAGAGTGGTTGCAGGGAAAGGATTAAAGAAGAAGCTCCATTGCTTTACAGAGTTATGAAATAGTGGATGTTTTTTTAGAAGACAAAGGTCAGTTGATGAACACAAAATTCGAGGAGGTAGGAGATAAAGAGGGGAAAAGACGACTTAGGCGGTGTTAAGGAAGGAGGGAAAGAAGAATCATGATCACAAAAAGAGGGTGAGAAGGGGTAATGGGGAAATAGAAGGGGTACATTATATAGAATAGAAACCGGTTGAGAAGAAGTAGAATTAAATATTTTCTTTTTTTTTTTAAAAAGCGTGGTTAGATATTACATTCTTAATATCAAAGGTCTTGGAAACATTCTGACCTGCTGCGAGACAATTGAGACTGTAGGAATAAATGTAGCCCACTCATCAGTAAACGTTAATTTAGGCAAATCTAACCTGCTGGAGAAGATTGATGGTTCACAATTATTAATTTTTCAAGATTTTTTGGTTCCCTTTAAAAAAAAGATGTTAATGTAAAGAAAGAGGGAGGGACCTTAAACATAGCTGGGAATTTGATGATTTTCATTGAGGCTCTTTGATTTGACCCCACCAAGTGTATGATTACTAGTGGGCTTTATATCAGACATTTCTTTTCTTTTCTTTCTGAAAATGCAATTCGTCTTACTAGTTGTAGTAACTACACATTTCATGCATACAAACAGATGCAACACCTAATAGGTAAGTGCCTCTATTATGTGATGATTGGTGTAGGGATTTTTGGCACAAGAAATTTTTTCTCAGCATCATTGCCAAGGGTGTTAATGTGAATATTAAATAAAGCTATAAAGAATCAGAAATGTTGACTTTCATGAGTAGTGTTTCTATTTTTTTTTTTTTTTTTTTTTTATCATATACATCTTGTATTCTCTAGTATTTTGGATTAAGAGTATTTAAAATGGTTAATGATTAAAAGGCAAAATAAATGTGCTAGACATCTAAGGTCAAATAGCACTTTAGGAAAGTATATTAAAAGAGGGGTGAAGGGTGATGATAGTTGCTATGCATCAACCTATGTCTTGCCAGCTTCACAGAATTAGTTTTTGTTGGACATCTTTTGTCCCAAAGTGGACATTTGTAAATTAGAAATTACTTGGAAATCTAATATATAGGTAAATGATGTCACATGCTTCTTTCTGCCCTCACATATCCCAGCATCCCAAGCTGTAGTTCCAGAAGTTAACGCTTTATTTGTAGCTGGAATTCGCTAGATTCAACAGAGTAATAAGCCCAGGAGTAAGAGAAGGAGCAGAGAACTAATGGTAGTAGAGGAGTATGGGGGGGGGAGGAGGTGTTATGGTGGATGAAGAAGAAGGAGGAGATAGGAGGGAGAAGAGAGGTGAGAAGGTGAGGAATGGAGAATAAATAAGACGGTAATGATAAGACCAAGTGTGGAAGGAGTCAAGGCAAGGAAAGAGAGTAGATGATGAAAAGAAGAGAAGAGAGAGAGGAGGGGAGATGATGGAGGAAGGGGGAGGAGAGAGAGGAGAGAAGAGAGAAGACGTGTGTGGAAAAGTGGGAGAAGGACATGAGCCTGGTCGTCTTCTGTGTATACCTCATTTTGTCACAACCAATCACCAAAAATCCGAAACTAGGTGGCCCGTGTGGCGACCCTAACACACAAATGCATTTACATTAGCACTCCCCCATCGTACGCCCGCGACATCCAGGCACCCACTCTCGAGATCGCTCGCGGTCATGGTCTTGTCTGCTGGTTGTTTGCTCGATAGTGCCCGTCCCCTTGTTCCATTGCCCAGTTTTGATTTTATTTATTTAGTTAGAAGAAAAATTCTGCGTGGGACTGTTGAGGGAGAGAGAGAGGAGAGTGAGAGGGAGAGAGAGAAGTGAGAGTTAGCACCAAAGGTCGATGAAGCAGGAGGTGTAAGAATGGACCCTCCTGAATGTATGGGATACTGGAGAGTGAGGGCAAGTACATTACACTAGGGATTTTGAGCCTGATTTACTCTTCTTGAATTTTAACGAGGCAAACGACAACACGAAGTAATCTAAGAGATGAACATGGATTCGAGAGAAGGAGGTGAGAGAGGAGAAGAGTGAGATGCTTAGGTGCTAGAGGAGAGATGGGAAAGCGAATGATGACGCAAGAGACAAGAATGCACGAGAGGAGAGAGGGAGAAGAGACGGAGAGTGCCGGGAGGCGAGAAGAGAGAGATGGAGGACGGAGAGAGAGAGCAGACAGAGATCCAACAACAATCAAACAAAAGCACGACCCTGCCAAGGAGCCTAATCTGAGGGAAGGCACAAGGCGATTGGAAGAAAGAAACAAAGAGTGAGGGAGTTATGTGTAGGAAGGAATGGAGAGGTAATAGGATAGAAAAAAAAAAAAGAAGAAGAAAAGGAATTGCCCCCAGAAAAATGAGAAGCCGAAACTCGACAGGACAGTTGGAAGGAGGATGAGAAAAAGAAAAAGAAAGAGACAGAGAAAGAAGGGGAAGGAAGGAAGAAGCCAGAGACGGAGACGGGCGGGGGGGCAAGCGATCCCACATCCAACTGTTTGCTCGCAGGAAGGGATAATATCCCTCCGGCTCGCATCGACATCGCTCGCCCGTTTCGTCTTGCCCCACCCGGTTGTACTGAGGGGTCCCATCTGACAGGAAAAATGAGAAGGACCCCGGGAGAGGGAGGGGGAGGGAGGAGGGAGTTTGGCGTGCTGTTCGTGCGGAGAGGAGGGATGAGAGAGGAGGAGGAAAGTGAGGTGAAGAGGGGTCAAAGGGCCAAGGAGCGGTCAGGCGATGGTGAGGGAAGGGTCTCCGGGACGCAGTGACATGAGGCGAAGCGCGGGGAGGAGTGACGGGGAGAAGAGCAGGAATGAGATCGTAAGAGAGAGGAGGAAAGAGAGGAAGAGAGGAAGAGAAGAGAGAGGCTCAGGGGAGCGAATATATTTAGAACCACCCTGGCAGAGGAGAAAAGAGGAGAGAGAGGAGAGAAGCCGGAGCAGACGTAGGCCGGCCAAAGGCATTCGGATGGATGGAAGATATTCTAATGCTCGTGCAAATAGTAAGCTACGAGATATAGTGATTATAGGTAATAATGAGCTGGGGGAGGGAGGAGAAAGAAAAACCGGAAGAAGAGAGAGAGAGAAGAAACGACGGAAGAATGGTAAACTCAAAAGAGGAGAAGAAAATGAATGAAAGAAAGAGCGAGAGAGAGATAAAGAGTGAGATGAGAACGAAAGAAAGAGAAAGGTATAGAAAAAGAAAAAAAGAAAAAGAAAAAAAAAAAGAAAAAAGACACGAGAAGTACAAGTTTCCAGTTAACCCTCCCGGTTTCTAGTTGATTTACCCTTGTCCCCTTCCCCCCACCACGCCCCCGGGGCCTCCGGCTCCACGCCATCTTCAACGCCTCCTCGAAGGCACAATCTCTACAGTAATTATAGCACCCAATTCAGTAGTCGCCTGGCGTTCGCCTCGAGTAAATGAAACATGCTCGGTTCAACAGGCTGATGTACTCCCCCCGCCTGACGACCGGCTAGCGGGCAGCGCCTTATCCTCTCCCGCCCACCCAACAACTCCCTCGCTTCTATACTGCGCCTTCTCTTCTTCTCTCTTTCTCTTTCTAAT